ATGGCATACTTGGCATGCGGGCCTGTGGTGCATGTGGTGAATGAATATATGTTTATATATATATATTTTATGGTGTCCCTTTGATGACATCAAATGTTCAGGAGTTGCTTCACTGAATTATCCGCTGTAGTGCGGGTTAAACTGAACTGACATTGAAAGATTTTTTTTTTTTCCTACCAAAAGCTGTTTCAAAAACCTACCAAAATGGCTTCATGCCTGCCAGGTAAGCAAAACAGATCAATTTATATTTTTTTTTATGATTTGACCGAAAATAAAAATAGTCTTCGAAAGTATCTACTGGCCATGCTATCACACTTTAAAACAAACCAGAGAGGTTTTCTGGGTCGATGGAATCAAGAAAGCGTGAATTAAGGCCAGCTTCCTATTTCTTCGGCAGCCTTATTTAATTTTTCAATAACGCCCTAATCTTACTTTTCAAAATGCGGCCTAATTTAATTTCTTGATTGCCGTCTTAATGCACATAACTCACAGAGCCGGTTTTCTGTTTCATGAGCGTGGAAACCTATCATCCTACCATCGAGAAATAAACCTACCAATTTTGTTAGAAAAGCTCAAAACCGAACCCCGACACTCATCTAATTTCACTGCATTTCCCGCTTCGATTTTCGTGTACTTGTAGCATATTTTTAGGAGTTACATTTTGTTTATTTTATCAACTGTTTTTATTCATTTATTGTCCTTTCCAGTTATGAGTGGTTCGCCGAACTCGGTCTGCGCTGGTACGCTCTGCCCGCAGTCTCGTCGATGATGTTCGATGTGGGTGGCATTCAGTTCACCGCAACCGCATTCAGCGGTTGGTATATGTCCACCGAAATTGGTTGCCGCAATTTATGTGATACAAATCGACGAAATGTGTTGCAGGTACGGTAAGCTAATTAAGCGAAAATAAATAGATTGTATACATAAATAGTAGTATGGATATAAAGCTTTTGTCTTAGCCAATGCACTTTTGAGGCGTATATTNCAAATAATGTGGTCTTAAAGTTATACGCCTAAATACATATATCGCGCACGGCACTATATCAAAAGTTTGAATTTTCTCTTGATCGGCCATATATATGTACATACCACACATATTTTTAAAAAGCTTGTAAAAACAATTTTTTACATGAATTACTTTAACAAATATTATAACTCCTTTTTTCTTTTCCGTTTCAAGACCGTTGCAAATAAAATGAAATTAGACACACGCACCACGTCATCCCTGTGGAAGGACAGAGCTTTGGTAGAGGTGAATTTAGCTGTGTTGCACTCTTTCCAAAGCCGAAATATAACCATTTTGGATCACCATACGGCCAGTGAAAATTTCATGAAACATTTTGAAAACGAATCGAAAACGCGGTGAGTGGTGATTTAGATATAGGAAAATATATGCAACTTTTAAGTAACGGAGGCTAGATCGTAGGCCCGTTCGAGTGCCTTTTGTCCGAAATTTGGAGGCCTCTGTGATGTGGGGAATATAAGTGCATACTACCATTCCGCAATACCTGGGTTCGAGCTCAGATTTCGAATAAAATCAAAATCTAAAACAAGAAAAAATTTGTTGTAATAGCGATAGCCGCTCGGTTGGCAATGGCAAACCTCTGAGTTTATTTCTACCATGGAAAATAGCTTCTCATAAAAATACGCCACTTTTTCTATATGTCATGCCATGAAAGAAATAGTTTCATCCAAATAAATTTAACCATTAGATTCAGTAGAAAACTTTTTTAAATTACGACATTTATTAGAAGGAGACAAGATTTCTCCAGTTAGAAGATCCGAATAAGGTACGACCTTCCCCCATCTGTTTAATGAATGAAATCTATTTGGTATGAAATTCTAACGTGTTAGGAAATATTTCGCGAGGGGTTGACTGAAAAAATCCTGACCAGGATATTTTTAAGTAATTAAATATTAAAAAAGTAAGTAAAGTAAATCTAAAATCTATTTTGCTAAAACACTTTAGTTTTTGCTTATTACTTTCTCTTACGAATACATATGCAAATGGAAATATCTATTATTGTCACAAATTGTTAGCAACGAAAACTCAGTTCTTCAAGATGTTAAGTTCAATGGCAATCTATGGGGTATTAGTTTCTGCTTTTTGCATCAAAGTAATATAGAATCAATACTCATAATCTTGCACAAACAAAGCAACAAATCAGGATTAAATTATTTCTTTATTTCTTGTAATTTCTCATACTTTAGCAATGGCTGTCCGGCTGATTGGATTTGGATTGTTCCGCCACTTTCCGGTTCAGTGACGCCTGTCTACCATCAAGAATTCGCACTGTACTATCTGAGGCCATCATTCGATTATCAGCATCCCGCCTGGAAGGTGCACGTATGGGAGAAGGAACGTGGTGAAATCAAACCAAGACGTAAATTCAACTTTAAGCAGATTGCAAGGTAAAACAAAAAAAAATAAACAAATAGCAATTTAAGATAAGAAATGTATTTATAAGCATGATGAAAAATAACTTTACTGGAACAAATGACGCAAGAAAGCAAGTGTAAAAAAAATAACAAAAAGTCAA